AATTTGGGGTTGGTAGATGCAAACTATTACATTTAGAATGGATAAATAACAAGGTCCTACTGTATAGCACAGGGAACTATATCTCCTGGGATAAACCATAATGGAAAAGAATATTTTAAAAAGAATGGAATGTATATATGTGTAAACCTGAGTCACCCCTGCTCCACAGAGATCGGCACAGCCTGTAAATCAACCATGTGCTTGTGCTTAGTTGCTCAGTTGCATCTGCCTTTTTTTCAACCCCATGGAGCCTGCCAGGCTCCTCTGTCCATGGGGATTCTCCAGACAAGAGTACTGGAGTGCGTTGCCATGCCCTCCTCCAGGGGATCTTCCCAACCCAGGGATCGAACCCAGGTCTTCCACATTGCAGGCGGATTCTCTACCATCTGAGCCACCAGGGAACCCCGAATCAACTAAACTTCCATTTTAAAAAATAAAGGAATGAACAGAAGGAAGGTAAGGAAAAAGATTACTTAGTTATCCAAGAGAAAAATAATGGTGGCTTGGATCAGGCTGGAGCAGAGGCAACACAAAGTAGACAATTTCAAGATATTATTTAAGAGATGAAATAGAAGTCTGCAAGGTTTGGTGACAGTGAACGCACAACTCCCGGGTTCTGGCCTGAGCAACTAGATGGACAGAGGCGTGACTGAGAAAGGCTTCACTCGAGAAGCAGAGGTGGGGTGGATGGGGAAAGTATGAGCGCATCACTAATGATTCCTGCTACATAGCCAATAAAAGCTCGAAGAGGTAGATGGATACGCAACTAGGTGCTCAGAAGAGGTTTGGGCTTTAGATGTACATAGGGGGCATCTCTAGAGATGGTATTTTAAGTCATGGGCATGGATGTGATATCCGAGGACAAAGCACAGAATGGACAAGAAATCCTATCAACCCCAAACCCTGAGGAAACAACATGTGGAGATTAGAGGAGTTAAGAACTAGTGAAGAACAGAAAAAAGGAGCAGCCCAGAAAGGAAAGAGGACAGTCAGAAAGTACAGTGCTATGGAAATGAAAGGAAGTATGTTTCAATTAGGAAAAAAGATGGACAACAATGATACAGAACACTGAAATAAGGATATTAATGATGGTCAGGGTTCCAGGCCAGTTATAAACGATCATTAACCCATTAAATAGGTAGATTACAGTATCAGCCTATCTAAGCTGTCCAGTTCAGTAATGAAACATGCCCAGGTTTAAACCCCTGCTCCAGTACTTGCTTGCTATGTGGCTTTAAGTTTATTAATGTCACTATGTCTCAGTTTCCAATTCTTAAAAAAGAAGGTATAAACAATACCTACCTCAAAAGATTACTTTGAGGATTAAATAGTGTTTGCATTGGTCACTTAAAACAGTAGCTAGCACAAATCAGTTGTCAGTAACTAACATTACTTACAACATTACAAATTACTTACAACATTGTTTCTATGGGAAATTATGAACAACAGAAGTTTGTTCCAAATAACCTTTCATTACTTTGCGATTGTCTCTACTCCTTACAAATTGTGACCTTTCAGGTCTTATCCCAAAAGCCTTGAGGAAAATGCTACATTTAAAACTTACTCAAAATGTCCTTGGGCTTACCCAGTGGCTCAGTGGTAAAGAATCTGCCTGCAATGAGGAGAACCTGGGTTCTATCCCTGGGTCCAGAAGATCCCCTGGAGGAGGGCATGGCAACCCACTCCAGTACTCTTGCCTGGAGAATCCCAAGGACAGAGGAGTCTGGCAGGCTATCATCCACAGGGTGGCAAAGAGTCGGACAGGATTGAAGGAAGTGAGCATGCACACAAAATGTCCTTAATATAGTAGCTGACCACTTTTGGAGAAGCTAATCATTGTTTTGTTTTTTGGACAATAAAAAGGACGACCTATCACACTCATTACATTCATACTAAAATCAGGATGAATTTATAATTTAGGAAATTCTAAAAACTGGTGGCAAAAAAGACTGTTTCAAGTCAAAAAGGCAAAACAAATACAATTTTATTTTAAAACAAAATATTTCCGTTTAGTCATCTTCTGGTGTATACTCAAATACCAACACAACATCTATCATAACCATGATGAAACAGCCTGTCTTTTCCTATTCTGTACAAAGACACAAATGTCAGGGAGAGAAAAGGTGCAGGTCTGTAGCTTCCTGATGATCATCTTATATCCAAAAGCATGCAAAGGTATTTAGAGCATCTAAAATAGCCCCACAAAGAATACTTCTAACCGCATGGTGATAAATAAAGATATATGCTCATTTGGTCCCTAAAACTAAGAGCACAAATAAATGGAAATGTATATATGATCAGGTCTTAGCCCTGAAATTTCCATGTACCCAGCAAGAAATATTTTAAAAACATTCAGAAATCTCTATACACTCTATTTAAAGTGAAATGCTAGAGTTTTCCCATTAGCTCTTTATTTTTCAATTGTTAAACCAATGGAAATATCTAGTATCTTGTGGAGCTGTTATACCAAGAAAGTGTTATTTCAGAACTCATGAAAAAATGTTTACCATGCTATTTCCTATCAGCTGATGAAAACGTTTCATTTCAGGACCAAGTAAAGACATAAAGTAGGATGTTAGATCCCATATCAGTAACAACTGAATGTCACTACCATCTGTTAAGCTTCTGAACAGGTTATTGGAAACAAGGTGACAGACAGGCTAACTCCTTATGGATAAGTATCCACATCACATCATCACAACCGATATTCATTTGCACCTTCAAGAAAAACTGCCACAAGGGGGAACAAAAACATTCAACTGATACATGAATTATGAAACAGCTTTTCAAAATGTTATAAAAAAATATGAACAGTCTTCTGAAAACACACAATACTTAAAGACTTACAGGACATATTTCAGATTCAGTATTTTTTATATAACTGAAGAGAGCACTCACACAGTTTGAGGAATAAAATGAGGTACAATTAAGAAGTCTGTGTAGCCCTGTACAGATGGCCTGATCCTAACACAAGATGTTAACAAAGCAAGTTCATGGGGGAGGGGGAAAGCCTGCATTTTCTATGCTATAATTTAGCTAACTCCACCCCCAAAATATATTTTAAGAGGGGAGGGGCTGAGCATTTAAGAATCAATCGTTTTCAATAAACAAAATAAATCCCTTTTAGATTATGTGTTCCAAATAAATCTACTTACTGTTTTCAAATGTGTTTGGGAAGTCATTCTTTGTTACTGTGATAAATAACATTTGGAAAATATGACAAGTAGATTTTAGTTTCTTGCCTCAGAAGTATTCTGCTAAAAGAAACAACAGACATAACTAGATAGCATTTGTTTCACGTACCTAATAAAACATTTGTCATTTAAAACATAAACTATGCTGCATAAACACCTATCATGGTTGTTCACTGAAGAGAAAGTAACTTTAAATTATGGTATATATGCAAAAGCTACTTCTAAAATGATAGTCAAATTACCATCAAAAAAAAAATTTAAATAAAAGGGAAAAGTGCCAAGCATTTTTCATCAACTCCTTAAACTGTATATAATTCAAAGTTATGACTTTCTGAGAGGTCTCAGCATTTAATTATCTGGCTCCACATTGGCACATCACATTATTATTTTATTAATAACCCCATCTCTTTTAAACAAAGGACCTTAAATTTTCTATGAAAGCATATTTTCCTTTTCTTGAACGAATTTTTTCTCATTCTCTCAACAATCATCCCAAGGTATTATCTAAGACAAAGACCAGTTACTCTTCGCACATACTTTCCAAATCATGAACGTGCAATTTCTACAAAAGAAGAAAACCTAGAATACTGTAATATATATAAAGTAAAAAAAAAAAAAAGTTCACTTCTCTTGTGACAATAATAAAAAAAATCTGATGAGATCATAAAGCCACGAAGCTTCCTGTTGGTAGCTGAGGATGAAGTCATTAGCAACCCAGGATTCCCTGGTCCTTGTAATCAGAAGCTGCACCTACCAGCTTTCTGCATTGTTCGGCAGAGGTGGCTTTAAAACACCCCGCTCCCAAATCGTCCAAACCAAACCACGCCTTCCAGTTATCATTCAAATGGACCGTTTCGCAGTGTAGCACTACTACACATTTCCCGCGAGCTTAAACATCTAGTAAGAGTCAACATTTTAGATTCCCTTGGTCATGCTGGAGCAAAGATGAACTCTTGAACCCCACGCTACATAATGAGCCGAGGCTTCAGAAACGAGATGGAGAAGCATGCTTCGGTTCTTCAACCTTTACGGCCTTCACTGACCGCCCCCCACCTCCGGTTTCTTCCCAACTCTTAATCACCCCAAAACACAGAAGGCTAAGAGAGATTCCTTACTTCCTGCTGTTGTTAAGAGGAGGACACCCAAGAGTAAGTTTGAACGCATGGAAGAGAAACAGCTTCATCTTGGCCACCACTGCGAACATATGTCACCCAGCCCAGGCGCAGCGTCCGCATCCCCGGGGCCCCCTCTCAGGCCCCCACGTCCCCGGGATTCTCCCGCAGCACAGGCCACCCCCCCGCCCCAGGTTCCCCAGTGTCAGAGACTCGGCTCCGCGCCTCTAGCGCTCCCGCCTCCCCCACCCTCACGCTCACTGCCTGGGCCCCCAAGACCACATTGTCCGTCACAATACAATGGAATGTCACTACCCCGAACTCCTCGGCGCCCCGCTTGGCCCCCCGGCACGAGTCCCGAGTTTCCCTGATCGCGGAGTTCAGCCAGGAACCCAAACTTCACCATGTGGGAGCCTAGGACGCGGAGGTGAAGGGACCCACGACTCCCGCCCAAGCCTCTCTTTTACCCACGCTCTCCCGCTGCGAATCCCGCATCGGGCGCCCCCACCCACCCCGAAACCACCCCACAGGAGTTACCAGCCAATTCTCCCGGCACGGTGAGGGCGAGGAGACGAGCAGGGGGGGCTCCCCGCCGACCTGAACCCTCGGGCGGTGCTGCACGGGGGCAAAGGCCCCAAACGCATCCCCGGCCTCTCCCGGCCCGCCAGGACCCCCCGCCGCCCACCCTCCCTACCTGGTCTTGAGGCTGGGGCTGCTACCGCCGCTGCCGCTGCTGCTGGAGGCGGCGGCCGCGGCTCGGGGTTCGTAGGCCCAGGCGGGGGCGGGGGGTGGTGGGGCGGCGGCGCTGGAGGGGGCGGCGGGGGGCGCGGGCGGCGGCGGCGGCGGGTCGGCGAAGCCGGAGGTCGCGTAGTTCCTGTCCATCGTGGGGGCGGCGGAGGGCGGGCGGGCTGCGGTGGGGGCTCCTCTAGGGCCCAGAGAGAGGGGGGCGGGAGGGGAGGGAGGGGGCGGGGGGAGGAAGAGGAGGCGGCGGCGGCGGAGGGAGCTGCCCCCTCACATGGCCGCAGGCGAGCGGGCGGAGGGCGCGCTGGCCGGTCTGTGCCGGGGGAAGCCGGGCCGCGGTGGGCCGCGAGGCCCCAGCTGGGCGTCAGGGGAGAGGCGGCATCCGCGGCCGGGACTCGCGGCGGCGGCGGCGGCGGTGGCTGCGCCCCATGTTGGTGGATTTCCCAGGATGCACCTCCCGCCCCCCCCCCTCCGCCCCGCGGCCTCGCCCCGCCTCCCCTCGGCGCCCCGCGCTCGCGGCTCGCGGGCCAGAGACGGCCTCCTCCTCCGCTACCGCCGCCGCCGCTTCTGGAAGGCCAGCCCAGGCGGAGAAGGCTTGAGGCCTGCCCGGCCCAGGCCGGCTCCGGGAATCGCAGGGCGGCCGCCAGCCCTAGCCCGCGAGCCGCGGACTTCCCGCCCTCTGCTGCTCCAGGAGGAGCCGTCGGCGCTCGCCGCGCCCCGCGTGGGAAGGGGCCGCGCCTGCCGGCGTCCTCCTCGAAGGAGGGGGAAACTGAGCGGAATCCCGGCGCGGGGTGCTGCGGCGGGGGCTTGTCAACGCTTTGCCTGGAGTTCGTTATTTGACCCTTCGAGTTATTTTTGAGTTACTCACTCAGTTCCCACATCGCGACTCCTTTCTCTGCTCCTCGTCCCAAACCAGAAACAGCTGAGCAGACTGTTTTAACAGTTCCGTTTACTCCCTTCCTGCCCAAAGCTTGCTGGGCTAGAGGACCCTTTTCCTGCTGTTAGGGGAGATTTATATTCAAAGAGATTCAAATTCTAACGTATTCTTTTCCAACCCTCGTTGAAAGGACCTTTCCCTGGGGGGCTTTTATTAACCGTCCCCACCCCCACCTTGGGGATTTTTCTCATTCTGGGTTTCAGAATCTTCTGTCCCAAGATGAATACTGCCTCTTCATTGATTAATACAGCCACCATCTGGATGGCTTTAATTACCATAAATTTAAACTCACTATGTTGGATTTTTTTGTTTGAGACTTGGAACTTCAGTAGGACTCTACCCAAACGTTTCCTGTCCGGCGTCCAGGTTGTTTGGGGGAGGAGGGGAATGAAAAATTATTTGCGGTTCCCTGTTGTATGTGAGAGTTGTTGTTTCTTCTAGTAACTTATGAGTAGTGAAACAAGAATATAGAAATCACTATTTGGTCCTTAAGGCATAAAGTAAAAGTTAATAACAGTAAAGTTGATTGACCATCACCCTTTTAAAAAATCAATACAGGTTTAACACCTATTTATGTGCTTAGTACAGAAATCTGTCCCTCAAGATAAGCTTAACATGAAGGTTAAACAAATAAGACAGGCATCGTAGAAGACAATAAATCTGATACATTATCTCTGATCACCATGCAAAAAGCAGTTTAAACTTCAGTAATCCCTGGTTTTGGACCTGCTGTTCCTTCTGAGATTAATTTTGTCCAGGAAGATTCTGTTTTCCTCCTGGCGCCTACATCCTTTTGTTCCTATTCATTCCTTTTTTTTGTAAGTCTTTCGTCACCTGTGCTGCTTGGAGTCCTGTCCTGGGGTGGGGAAGCAAGGAAGTGAGTAGTCGTCATTTACAAATGAATTCAAATGTGTGGACACAAGTGACTTTGCCGATTTTATGTTAATCCCAGTATGCATTTTCTGAGGACATCTTTGAAAAGTGGTTTTCTTTGGAGAAGGAATTTGCCAGATAATCTAAGACCCTGCAGAGAAATAACAAATCTTCCATACAACATTTATTTTTCTTACTCCTGACTGGAGATCTGTAATCTATATAAATAAAGCAAAGTTTTCACTACTATTCATTTGTATTTTTGTGAGCACTAAAGTTTTGTCTGTATGAAAAGTGGAGTGGCATGTTATAAATGTTTTATGACAGTTTGATACCCACAACTGGTACTCAGAACTTACCGAGGCAATACCAAACAAGTGGCAATAAAACCTTTATAGTCCCTCACACCATTATGTAGTTTGTTTATGTCACATAAATCAGAGAAAAAATACTAAGGGAAAATTTTAGTATTTTAAAAATAATATTACTCTGTCATCATATGTGATGTTCCTTTGCCCATTAAGTGAATTTTAGTTTACCTTAAGTCAATGCAAGTGTTTCTGATGTTGCAACATGTCTACAAATAGCATCATAAAACATCACAAAGTCTTTTTGGTAAAATTAATGATAGTACCTGAAGAATGTCATCTTCCCTACTGAAAACATGCTCCCAACACTGCAAACTTTTCATGTTATTTTTCAAATAATTCCCAACCCAGCTGTTTAAATCTGATCTGTTGTTCTTGTTTAGTCTGTAAATCTTGTCCAACTCTTTTGCACCCCCATGAACTGTAGCTCACCAGGCTCTTCTGTCCATGGGCTCTCCCAGGCAAGAATACTGGAGTGGATAGCCATTTCCTTCTGCAGGGGATTTTCCTGACCCAGAGATCAAACCTGTGTCTCTTGCATTGCAGGCGGATTCTTTACCACTGAGCCACTGGGAGCCCTTTAAGTCTGATTTAAGTTCAGTTCAGTTCAGTCGCTCAGTCCTGTCCAACTCTTTGCGACTTAAACACAGCACCAAAAGTCAACAATGAGCCTTGTTGTTCTTGTTTTAAATAAAAATATTCATTCCAAAAAAAAAAATATTCATTCCATTTTTTGCCTGTGGAATTTAAGATCCAGATCAACGGTTATGTCTTTCATGACAGTTCCTCATCATTCCAAGGCAAAACCAATTGCTTCCTTTTCAGTTGCGCTATGGTGCCTATAACATTTACCGTATTTAACACTATCTTGTGGCATTATGATTAGTTGTATATCTGCCCCTTTCTCTCACAGATCATGAGTTCCTTCAAGGAAGGAGTTGTGTTTAACTCATCCTTCTATTCCCAGTACTTAGTGCTACACCTGACATTAGGCTCTAAATACATATTTATTGAATGAATAAATCCAAATACTATTTTTTAAATGCCCTTCAGAAATCCCATTTAATCATTTACATACTCTTTTTCTGGAAACAAAGGCAATTTGGTTGCAAGATGAATTAAGATTCTACAGTTAAAAGTCTTTCCTCCTCTCCCATCCACATCTTCAATTCCTTCTGAGTTTTATTGTCGATAAGTTAGTGATGTCTCAGAAATTGTCCATGAGGAACTTAACAGGTGGTCCAGTGGTTAAGACTTTGTGCTCCCAATGCAGGGCACAAGGGTTCAATCCCTGGTCGGGGAACTAATATCCCACATGCTGCAAGGCATGACCAAAGAAAGGTGTCCATGGACACTCTTCTCATATTTCCCACCTTCCTCCCATCCCATTAGAAAATCACCATGTATCTAAACTGGTAGGAAGCTTAGAGTAGTTCATCACCTTCATTCTGCTGTTGAGGAAACTGAAGCCCAGGGTTCAGATTGTTTTAGGTTAATAGAGGCATTCAGTTGAGGGAGGAAGTAATGAAACTGTATCTCCACTGAGGCAGCCTTGTTTTTTTAGCTTGTGGAGAAATGCAGTGTTGGGGGTTGACAGATTTGAAATGTAGTCAGTAAGTCCATATATTCTAATGTTACAAAAAGATAACCATTATTTAGAAAGATACAAGAAGGTCAAGTTTTGTGGCAGTTGGGTTGATTAGGGGAGGGGCCTTAATCTTCCATTTTTCCTTTCTCTTCTGGCATAGGGAGGGGGAACAATAATCCTGTTTTTGCTTGGGGAGAACTGATTTCACTCTCTTAGGTCAACATCAGAAATTAAATTACAACATCAGAAATGAGGGAGTTCCCTGATGGTTTGGACTTGGTACTTTCATGGCCGCTGCTGCTGCTAAGTCGCTTCAGTCATGTCTGACTCTGTACGACCCCATAGACGGCAGCCCACCAGGCTCCGCCATCCCTGGGATTCTCCAGGCAAGAACACTGGAGTGGGTTGCCATTTCCTTCTCCAATGCATGAAAGGGAAAAGTGAAAGTGAAGTCGCTCAGTCATGTCCGACTCTTCGCGACCCCATGGACTGCAGCCCACCAGGCTCCTCCGCCCATGGGATTTTCCAGGCAAGAGGACTGCAGTGGGCGCCATCGCCTTCTCCTTCATGGCCGCAGCCCCCTGCCAAGGAAGTAAGATCCCACAGAAAAAAGGGGGAAAAAATCAGAAATGAAGTAAGTCCCGCTATCATTTTCTCTGAGGCTTAGATCCTATCAACCATCTTTGGCTGCTATCTCTGTTGCTTGTCTTACCCTCCAGGGAAACCGCAATGGGGTCAGAAAAGCTGCATTTATACCTGCTTCTTTGGAAGCCACAGGTGTCACTGAAAGACAGGGATGAGTCACATTCCTTCCAGTGAGCAGAGCTTCAGGAAGCCTACTTGATCATCAATTTTGCAGGTAGAGGAAGTGGTCTGAGCTATGAATTGGATGATCTCTTGAGCTCTGTGACTATAGTTTAGCTGATAGGGGTCTGGAAGAAGCCAGGTTGCATAATTGGAGACCAAGAGGTCAGGGGTTAGAGCCCACTTTAAGTATAGGCTGGAAAGATAGGGGTATGGTCTGATCAAGTTGATCATTGAATGATATCTTTTATCTCCCTGAGTAGGTTACAGGAAATTTAAACCTCATTCTGTAAATTATAGCAGAAGATCCCCTGGAGAAGAGAATGGCAACCTACTCCAGTATCCTTGCCTGGAGAATTCCATGGACAGAGGAGCCTGACAGGCTACAGTCCATGGGGTCACACAGAGTCAGACACGACTGAGCAACTAACACTTACACTTTTACTTTCATCAGAATAACCAGTATGGAGAGCCAGGAAGCAGTCACCAATGCCACTGCCGCCACCTCTTCAGTTCCAACAAAGCATGAATTCTCCGTGGACATGACCTGTGAAGGCTGCGCTAATGCTGTCACTCATATCCTCAACAAGCTAGGAGGAGTTCAGTTTGACATTGACCTGCCCAACAAGAAGGTTTGCATCACCTCTGAGCATAGTGTGGACACTCTGCTGGAGACCCTGGAGAAAACAGGAAAGGCTGTTTCCTACCTTGGCCCCAAGTAGAGAGGGCCTGGGTGTCCAAGCTGCAGAATAGATCCTCTCCCATTTTCCAGACAGATCTAAGACCTGTCAGTCCTACAATGGAGTTATGCAGAGACCCTCACTTACCCTGCTCCTCTGGAGCTCCCCTGCAATAAAGTCCAGCTGCTTTTGCTGAGGAAGAAAAAAAAGTGTAGCCAATATGTATTGAATATGAATGTGCTGCGTCCTGTGCTATGGTCTTTTTATAGTTTATCTACAAACTATAGTATATCTATAACTATAGTTATTTAATCCTCAAAATATTCTTACACTATGGGTATTGGTTATTGTTTCCATTTTACAGGAAATTGAGGCTTAATGAAGTTAACTGCCCAAATCCTGTAAACTAATATAAATTGATGCTAAAACAAGTGGAGCTTCAAACCAGCTATATTTGACTTCTGAACCCAATAAGCTTGGTTAAAGTGCTACTGCCAGGCATCTCCACTAAAGTAAAAGTGAAGGGAAAGTGAAGTCGCTCTTGGCGACCCCATGGACTGTAGCCTGCTATGGGATTCTCCAGGCAAGAATACTGGAGTGAGTTGCCATTTCCTTCCCCAGGGTATCTTCCCAACACAGGGATCGAACCCAGGTCTCCCACACTACAGGCAGATCTTTACTATCTGAGCCACGAGGGGCTCCTATCTCCACTAAAGAGTGTCTATATTTTCTTTTATAGTAATATTTTGTTGGTACTTTAAGACTGTAAACTCCCAAAGCATCATTCCTTCACTGCTGGTTTTAGTATCTGTATTAGTTTCCTATGAGAGTTGCAACTTATTATCACAAACTGGGTGGCTTAAAGCCATAGAAATTTTTGTGTCACAATTCTGGAGGACAGAAGCCCCAAATCATGCTGTCTACAGGGCTGTGTGCTTCCCCTGGAGGCTCCCGGGGAGAATTCTTCCTTGCCTTTTTCAGCTTCTAGTGCATTCCTTAGGTTGGCCCCTTCATTCTAATTTCTGCCTCTGTCTTCACATTCTGTATGTCTGTCTTCTCCTCCATCCTTTTTAAGAACACTTGTCTTTGGGTTTAGGGCCCACCTGGTTAATCCAGCGTGATTTCATCTCAAGATCCTTAACTTATTGACATCACCAAAGACCCTTTTCCCAAATAAGGTCTCATTCACATGTTCTGTGGATTAGGAGACGGACACATCTTTGGGAGAACCGCCAATCAACTCACTATAGCATCCACTGGTGACTTTTTAAAAAGGTAATCACGTATGCACACACTTCTACAGTCATTTTTTTTAAAGTGATTATTCAATTTTGTTGACCCTTATTTATTTGGCTACATGGCATGCATGCAGAACTTTCCCAACCAGGGATCAAACCTGTGCCCCTGCTTTGAAAGCATGCAGTCTTAACTACTGGACCACCAGGGAAGTCCACCTGATGATTCTTGACTGAAGTGATTATTATTATGGTTACTGAATTGTAATTTTTCTAAATCCATCTTTTCTTTCATAATCATTAGTTATTCATCTATAAGAAGGAACTTTTCCTTATCTCCTGTTTATCAACCCATCTATCTGTTTATTCATTTCAGTATAAATTCATGAATTATTTTTTATTCAGTGGATTTGCATTGTGCAGAATGAACTCGGCAGGTTCAGATTGTCCAAATGTCGTATATTCCAAAGAAAGGTGTGGCCCTCACCAGGCTCCAGGGTCTTTCCTAGTGGCTCAGCGATAAAGCACCTGTCTGTAATGCAAGAGATGTAAGAGATGCAGGTTTGATCCATCCCTGAGTTGGGAAGATCCCCTGGAGGAGGACATCGCAACCCACTCCAATATTCTTGCCTGGACAATCCCATGGACAGTGGAGCCTGACGGGCTACTGTCCATAGGATCACAAAGAATGGAACACAACTGAAACGACTTAGCATCCAGGCTTCAGAGCCATAACTTCTAAGCACTTGGAATATCCTGCCTGTTAAGAGTGATTTTATTTATCCGAGGCCTTGGACCACAGCAGTGAGTAATGCTAACAATGTGATTTATGGTGGGGGCTTTGGACCACACAGTATCAGCTTGACCTCTCGAAGGTTTAGGGAATTAAGATCAGTCACCAGGGAGTCAGCCACGCCTATGTAAACAACCTCCCCCAAAACCCAGGACATCAAGACTCAAGTGAACTTCCGATTGGCAGTACTTCATGTGATGAATGTCTGCAGGACCCCATTGGGAGAGCACAACTTCAAGCTCTGCCTCGTCTCCCTCACTTATACTCTGTTCTATGTGCCTTTTGCCATTGCTGATTTTAATCTATACCCTTTCATCATTGCTGATTTTAATCTATGTCCTTTCATCTTAACTGACTGTAACATCAGTGTAGTGACTTCACTGCCTTGTGAGTTCTTGCAGCAAATCATTGAATATGAGGATGATCTTGGGAGTCCTAGAACACACAATTATAGTCCATTACCATATTTATCTATTTTGATGTTCAAATAGTCCCAAAACTGACTCAATACCCAAACATTTAATTACTTTAGTATACTTCCTCACAATAAGGAGCCACAAGAATCTGAAGCAGGGAGTACATGACCAAAGTCTCAGAAAATATTCCCTTGTCCTTCCTAATGCCCTACCCCATTCCACCCACATCTGCCAGAATGGGACATCAATATATCAACATGAGAAGTACATCTGTGTCTCTATATCTGTTCTGCAAATAAGAACATCTGGATGAACTGAGGGATTGGGATTGACATATATATATATCTCATTAATACTGTGTGTGAAATAGATAAGTAATGAGAACCTACTGTGTAGCTAAGGGAACCCAGTGCTGTGTGGTGACCTAAACAGGAAAGAAATCCTAAAAGGATGGGATATATGTATACATATAGCTGATTCACTTTGCTATACAGTGGAAACTAACACAGTGTTGTAAAGCAACTATACTTCAAGAAAAATTAATTAAAAAACAAGCAAACAAAGAACATGAGAAGTACAGTCCTGGGAGTTCCCTGAGGGCCTAGTGGTTAGGATCTTGGATTCCATTGTACTGGCCCAGGTTCAATCCCTAGTCGGGGCGCTAAGATCCCACAAACTGCATGGAGTGGCAAAAAAATAAATAAATAAATAAAAGGAAAAAGAACAAGAATAAAAAAGGAACACAGTACCTTCAGAGGTTTATACACATACACAGACACACACACACTCTACTCAGAGAACATTTTTTGTAATTTAAAAAGTCAGCACAGACTATTCAATATACTTGTTTTATTATAGTTATGCATACTCATTTTTTTTTTTTTTTTTGCTAGTCATGTAACATGGCTGCTTGCTCACAACTTCAGAAGCTCATAGGGAAACCATTGGTCATGACAATTGTAGCAGACTCCTCTGGTGCCTGCATCGCAATCCCCTGGCTCACTTCTGAGACAGTGCTGACTTACTTTGTGCACAGAGCAGCCTAACCCAGGACACTGCCACTTGTCTTTCTACATTGGGCTTTCTTGGGCCTCCCTGGAGCTCCCTAGAATGTAGAGGAATTTGCATTTCCCCATCAGGAGAAACCTTCAATCAGTGAAGAATGGAAGTCACTGGTAAATACTCCAGCCTCCCAGCTTCCATGAGGACTATTATGAGAGGTATTTTGCATCCTTCTGAGAGTGGTCTTTACACAAGTGACCCTTGTTTCTTGTTGATAATATGCCTTTGTTGTCCTGTCCTACCTTTCTTCCTTTTCTGTCTTTCTTGCTGCCTCCCAATCAAACTGCTACTGCTGCTGCTGCTACGTTGCTTCCGTAGTGTCCAACTCTGTGCGACCCCATAGATGGCAGCCCACTAGGCTCTGCCATCCCTGGGATTCTCCAGGCAAGAACACTGGAGTGGGTTGCCATTTCCTTCTCCAATGAAGGAAAGTGAAAAGTGAAAATGAAGTCACTCAATCGTGTCCGACTCTTCAAGACCCCATGGACTGCAGCCCACCAGGCTCCTCCGTCCATGGGATTTTCCAGGCAAGAGTACTGGAGTGGGGTGCCATTGCCTTCTCTGCCCAATTAAACTACCTACACCCAAATTGTTCCACTTTTGAGGAACAATTATACTATTGTCTGATATAACTACTAAATTTTAGTGCTATAATTTGAGTTTTTATCAGTTCATTTCAGTTCAATCACTGTTGTGTCCAACTCTTTGTGACCCCATGGCCTGCAGCATGCCATGCTTTCCTGTCCTTCACCACCTCCTGGAGCTTGCTCAAACTCATGTCCATTGAGCTGGTGATGCCATTCAACCATCTCATCCTCTGTTGCCCCCTTTTCCTCCTGCTTTCAGTCTTTCCCAGCATCAGGGTCTTTTCCAATGAGTAAGTTCTTTGCATCAGGTGGCCAAAGTATTAGAGCTTCAGCTTCAGCATCAGCCCTTCCAATGAATATTCAGGGTTGATTTCCTTTAGGATTGCCTGGTTTGATCTCCTTGCTGTCCAAGGGACTCTCAAGAGTCTTCTCCAGCACCACATTTCAAAAGCAAGAATTTTTTGGCCCTGACCTTTCTCTATGGTCCAACTCTCACATCCATACATGACTGTATGTCCTTTGATAAGTAATTGGCCCCAAGTCTTAGTTATTCAGTCTTCTCATTAACTATGAATTGGTTAAGGGGACAAGGCAGGGTGAAGGAATATTGCTAAAAGTGCTAGAAGCTACATCTTGAAAACATGTTCAAGAGGTCAGAACTGGGACAATCCCAAAGTTACCAATACAAGGGTGAAACAAGGGCTGGGGCTTAAGGAAAAAAAAAAAACAAAAAATTGTGATCCTTCCAAACAAAAGCTTACATGCCCTCCCCCACCCTCCAACCTTGAAACAAAAGCTAAAAATACACTCTATGGAGAGACAGAATAGCATCATGCTAAAGAGCATAGAGTGAAGCCAGGCTGCCTTCACTGTTACTGCTTCTGCTGCTTACTGCGTGAACTTGAGTAGGCTACTCAACCTTTCTATGCCTCAGTCTCCTCTTTTCTAA